GGTAGAGGATTCTAATTCCTCTTCCCCCACCACCTTGCTCCCTCACTCCAGGCCAGGGCAGACCACACGACATAAGCTGCACAAGAACTCCCACAGACAGGCCGAGTGCCACACCCCCAGGAAGTAAAGGCGCATCTTACATGAGGGCTTACTTGTCTCGGCTGGAGACCACCAAACCAAGCTGGCACTTATCGGCTGTGAAATGCGAGGTGAGGGTGGAGGATAGCGACGGCAGGGAGCTGCCCCATCCACAAAGATCACTGATCTCATTTTTTTCCTGATAAGGATATGCACATCCCTCCCAGGGCCATCGTTGCCATGACAACAGCAGGCGTTAAGGGTGAGCAGGTTAGTGGAGCAGCATGCTTTCTAAATTCTTGAACAAGGCCTGAGGCTGCAGTCACTCATGAAGTGGAAAAATTCATGTTGGCAGAGCTCCTAAATGGATTCCCAAAAACCTAAGGATCATGGCTTCCTTCTGGGGAAGAAGCAGAGATGGTGTCTCCATGGGCCCCTCCATGGGGAGTTGATTTTGTCAGACAACTAAGACAACTAACAGCACGAATTTCCCTATAAAACCAGGGCACAAAAACTGTCCATTTTCCACAGAGTAAAGAGATGCAACAAACCAGGGCAAAAACAATCCACAAAGGACACAAAAAGGCACTGTTAAAAAAAAATCTTCTCTATAATAAAGCCTTCCCACAGAGACTACTCAGAAAAACTCAGACCTAAATTCTCACGTTGAAGGATAGACTCCTACTTTGAAAAATCATAAAAATAGCTACCATTTACTAGACATTGTTCTTCAGGCTCCGTAAGATGTGTGTATCATCTCATTTAATTCTCACAACAACCCTACAAGGTAGACCCTACTATTATCTCCATTTTACAGAGAAGGAAACTGGGACTCAGAAAAGTTAAGTCATGGCCCCAGGGACATACAGCTGCTGAGTGGCAGAGCCAGAATTCAAATGAGGGTTCCTCTGACCCAGAGTCTGAGCTCTTAGTGATTATCTCTCTGATACAGGGGGGAAAAGGCTTCCTGCTTCTTGCAAGAATGATAAACAGATGCCTTCCTGGCAAAGGTGATTCACTGATTCTGCTGCCCTTAGCGCTTCATGATGAAGGTGGAGTTGCTTCCAAAATGCTTACTCCTGCTGCCTGAGTCTCCAAAGATCTCAGAAACCTCAGGAATATTTACTCTCAACTCCATACCACCCCTTAACCTTTAGGGGTCACTGGGATCACTTGGAGGGCTCATTAAAGCACAGATGGCTGGGCCCCAGCCTGAGATTTCTGATTCAGTAGGTGCTGTCAGTTGCAGCTCTGGGAATTGTCCTACCAGAACGGCCGTCTTGCCACTCTACATGAAGGTTCTCTAAGCCTCCTTGCCCTCGTGGCCTCACTTACCTCATTAACCTTTCACTGTTCAGCCCCAGGTCCCCTGGGGGGTTGCTTGCCAAGCTATAGTGTTATCTTTGGCAGTGCTGTGGGGTTTGGAATTCCCTGAGCTCTTTTGAAAACAGTGAACATCTGCCACTCCAAAAGTGAACTGACTGTTGCCTTAGGTAAGTCATGAGAGCCCACGAAACATGGGAAGAGGAGCCTGGAAGAACCAGCAGGAGACAGCAAAGCAGCCGGGCGCCCCAAGGCTGACTAGCTCTCTCAAGGCTGGGACAGTCTTTTTATAACCTCCAGGGATTCCCTCTAGGAACTGTCACAAGGGGGCACTCATTGAAGCCTCTTCAGAGCCTGCACACTGAGAATGTTACAGAGCTGTAAGCGTGAGTGCCTGGCCCTTTAAAGCCCCTCCCCCCGAGCCCAAGCCTCCCTGCGAAGAAGAGGCGGCCACTTTGGTGGCACTCCCTCCCCGTCTGGTCCTTTTCCTTCCCTGCTTAGTCCCACGGGGAGATGCTCAGGACATAAGAAGCCTGTGGTCCAGGCCTGCTCACACAGAAGCGAGGCTGGAGAAAGGCGCCAGTAATGAGGATTAACAGAGTTAATGCCTGACTTGTTAATCCTGCAGGAAACATCACCTGGTGATGCCCCCGCTGATCCCTTCAGACTGCAGCATCTCAGCCTCGGCTTCTGTGGACTGTGAAGATAAATGGACAGTTTAATGACAACGCAAAAGAACTCATCAGAGGAGGGAAAACAACTGCAGAGCACACGTGTGATGGAAGACTGGTCACAGCAGGCTCCCCCACTCTCTCTCTCTCTCTCTCTCTCTGTCCATGGCTGCTGCTGGTGTTGGTGTGAAAAGGTGCTGGCTCCTGAGAAGGCCTCAGACACAAGTGTGAGGAGACTCAGGCACCCAGACGAAGCCTCTTGGAAGCAACAGCACCTTCATTAGGAAGCACTAAGGGCAACAAAATTAGGGGGAGGCAGGCTCTCCTTGCGACTGCAAACAGCCAAGTTTTCTGCAGCATGTTCCTTTTTTCTCAGGCAGAACTAATAAATCTCATTCTAGCTCCAGGAGGGTGGCTAGGGCGGTGACTGGACTGTACAGATGTCAGGATGATCCAGACAGTCTTGGAGGATCTGTATCTGGGCTTAGAAATGAGAACTACTGAATTCTGGCCACCATGCTATCAGCTAAGGCCACAACAGAGACTGCATGAAACAAAAATATCCCAGCAAAAAAGGAGTAAGAAGATTAGACATTTATCGATACTATATATGTTCAGCTCTTTCCTTCTTCTCCAGTTGTCATGGCAACTCAATGAGATAGGTGTTATTATTATATCCGATGTATAGATGGGGTAATTAAGAAAACAGGAATTTAAGCAATTTGCTTATGCACATTCAGCAAGTTAAGTTTGGAGCTGGAATTTGATTCAGATCCATCCCCAAGCCATAACCTTAATCTTTGTGCCGCATTCACTCCAAACAGTGCAGAATGGATTTTGAGTCCTAAAACCTAACAGAGCAGGAGGCAGAGGTGCATCTCTTTAACGTCACCTCCCTGTGCAGAGGTATGCTGAAAAGTATGGTCAGGTCGCCCTTGGAGTAACTGGAAGGTGTAAGCTCTGTCCAGCTCATCCCATGAAAACTGTGACTCGGGAGTCAGCAGCCAGGCACGGCCCTGGCCGGAAGGGATTACACAAGAGGGGTTAGGACAGCAGGGAGGGGAAGCAACGGTGCCTCCTTCCCTATCTTCTGTCAACAGGATGGGTTCCTAACATTCTTTGGACCCTGAAGGAGAGACCTGGGCCAGATGCAGATAAAATCATCAGTAGACAGTTCCTGTTTCCCATTTGCCCAGGAAAACACACCAACCAGTATCATCAGTGATGGGGAGAATGTATTCAAAGTTAGTTCTGAGCTCAGCAGCCTGACCTACAAAGCCTCCCTGAGAACAAGAAAAACCCTGAAATGGAGGCGGGAAAGCAGGGCGGGATCTCTTGTGGCTGCTTGGGTTGAGTAGTTCTCAGCCCTATCCTGCAACACCTGGCAGTCTAATCTAAAACCACCTCCTTCTGCATCGCTTCTTCACTCTGTCACTGGCGCTGGGGTTGCAGAGTTGTCAATGAACTATTTTATGTTCTTCCCCTTGCCATCTGGCAATATTAGCTCTCTAATGAATTGCTTTAACTTGTGCATTTGTTTTTTTGACAAATGTGACTTTTGGTTGATTTATACAACATTCATAAATAGCAAATGCTGGCTGATTAGAATCAACGAAAACCCTTAGAGCTGCCAGCAAAAATGGGCCCTTAGCTGCACATGTTACTTGCATAGCCTAATCATTTGAAAGGCACTGGATTATTCTGGGAAAGAACTTTTTACATACACACTTATGTAATCTGTTATGTACGTATATATGTATGCATCTGAATTTGGGTGGATTCTTGCAAGCCAGCCATGCTATGAATATAAGAGCTAGATACACTTGGATTGGGAGCTAGACACACTGGGTTTGAATCCTACTCTACCACTTACAAACTATGTGAAATTGGGTATATTTCTTAACCTCTCTGTGTCTCCAGTTTCCCATTTGTAAAATAGATATAATAAATTCCTCGCAAGATTGTCATGAAGAATAAATGAGATCATGCACAGCACGATGTCTGGGTATGTTATGGCTCAATAATTAGTAACTATTATCATCATGATGATGTTCTATTAATAGAGGATTACGGTAGACAACATTTGCAGTCTCTGTAATCCTTCCTTTCTGAAAACTGCCACAGGGATGCACCTCCAAAGTCGTATTTGTACTACACGACACTGCTTTAGTGACTGAGCAAGAATAAGGAAAAGAAGGAAACGGAAGTTTAAGCAATTTTTCTACGCTCACCCAGCCATTGGGTTCTTGATTCAACCTCGCAGATTCTCTTTTCCTGAAATTCTGGATTAGGAATCAGTTCCCAGTGGTCCTCTGAACTAAGAAACTGTGAGGTGGTCACGTTTGGCAATGTGCACGTCAAGGCAGTGAAAGTCAGTCTGCAGAATGATGGAGATGTCGGGGAAGAAGGTGGTCTGACTTTGACGTGAAGTCAAAGAGAGTGGTACCTGGTTCTGGTAATTTTCCACTTCCCTGAGAAACTCCATTCCATCTATCTATCTATCTATCTCCCTCCCTTCCTTTTGCTTAAAATTTTGAGTGGATTTCCATTGCCTTTAACCAAAAGATCTTTGCTAACAGTGTCATCTCTGAGGCCACCAGATCCTCTCTGTATAGCTCAGAGAGCCTAAACATTTAAAAGGTACCCAGTTATTTTAGAAAAGAACTTTACACATGCGCGCGCACACACACACACACACACACTCTCACACACATACATGCAACTTTATGTTATCTGTTTTCAACTTTTGAAGTACATTAAGTAGAAATCAAAATAATCACATATGCAAGGAAGGCATGCATGTAGGGAAAAGGACAAAGAATAAAAAGAGAGCCATTAACATTTCTGGTCTTACAAAAATCTAAAAAAAATGGGTCATTCGATGGCTTTCCAGAACCCAAGCAAGAAGGGAGAGACTGGGGGCTTTACCTGGTGTCGCACTGGATACCGTTGGCCACTGCTGATCAGGCCCTCCTGGACCAGCCCGTAGAATGCCAGCCTCCTCCAGGTGCACAGAGCTGAGTAAACACAGACCCAAGTAACGGTGAGACCACACATGCCTTTCCAGCTCTCCTCCCACCCTCAGGAAGTGCTTACATCCCAGGAGGCAGGGCTGCAGCTAACACTTTCTACTCATGCTTGAACTGAAGCAATTTTCGCTGAGCAGTCACCTTGTATAAACTGCAAAAGCACTGCCGACTGCCCGCCCACTATACCATTCAGGTGATACACGTTTTAGCTTTACAGCAATTTTGGCTTTCATTACTGCCACGTGGTGCTCACTACGTCTAACAGGAAGCCCATCAGAGGGCTAATGCCATTTTAACATCTTAATGCTGAAGCAGATGAGGAGAGCTTGGTCTTCAAAGCCCCAAGCCTCTTTGGCTGGCTCTCTTATCTTTGGGTCCTCTATAGGAAAGAGGAAAATACGAACATTACTTGCTGATAACTATAATATTGTTCCAGTTTGGCCTGATTAATTCTTCACTTTATTTTCTGCTTTACTCTTTCTTTACTCTTTCTTTACTCTTTTCCTCCGAGATGAACCACCCTAGATATTCTGGGACCAGAGGAAGTTTGTCACCATCACTCATGGATCCCAGTTCAGAAGAGATTAATTCAGCATGAAATACTGCAGGGAGTGAGACGTGAACTGGGAGATCCTTAGAGACAAGTAGAGATAGAACATAAACTGCTCAAGGGCAGAGAGGACATCATATTCATTTGTGTATGTCTAACGCTAGCTCATACTAGACCCTCAAATCTTTGCTGGATGAATGAATGAAGAAAGGGACAAATAGGACCCTAAGAGAAAAGAGGATCCACGAAAACCCTCACCAAAATAAAAGGACTCTTTGAAACTAGACATTGGTTCATCTTGCAAATGAAGTTACTAAAATAAAGCTTACAGTACTACTGCCTGAAGGGGCCAGAGCAGGAGCGACAGAGCAGGCAAACCTGAAATATTGTTGGAGGAAGGTCATCTCAGTTCAATATTCTCTTACTCTTTGACTTCAAACAACATGCCTACTAGAAATTCACTCATTAAGCTCTGCTCGGTGCCTATCCTTCCCATTATCTACACCCTAGAATCTTCTCTTTTTTTCCAAATATTAATATCCTCCAAGTGTTCCTGGATCCTACCAGCAAATTGTGTGGGTTCAATGAGATTCGTTCTGAAGATGTAACTACCCTGGGAACCAGCTCAGCTCAAAGCAGAATTTTCAAAGGAACAGGTAACAGGATGTCTGAGGCTGGAAAGGTCAAGAAGCCAAGCACCCGTGTGGAAAAGATGAGTATTAATTAAGTTCACAACGTTACCATATGTCCAATGTATTATGCTGTGAGGAATAAATTACATTTAGTTTCAATTTTTATTTCATTTCTTATCTTACTTGACTCTCATAACATCTGAATTGAAATCTGAATAGAAGCACATTTAGCTTTTTTTTTCCCACTTGAAAATGGAATGAGGAAATGATATGTTTTAGAATGTTATTTTAATGTAGTTTTGAGGGTGCATCTTACAACATTGATACTTTTCATGTAAAGCACTAGTTCAGCTGGGAGAGTAAGAGTTGGTATTCTAAACCATGTTTTCTCCTATGGTAAGACTCCACCACAATAGCTCAGATGCAGGCAAAAGGCTGAGCTGGTTTCTAACAAATAGAAAGCATCTTTCGGATACCTCATACTCTGGCATCTACATGAGTGCCTCTGGCCTAAAATTATGACCAGATTCCAGTGTGATGTCTCACCAAGCCAACTACCAATGTTCAGTCTTCACTGATTGCTTCTCGTTCAGAAATAGCACCCATTATAACAATTTCTGCTCAATTTGTAATGTAATGCTTGAGAATATGTTGATTCACTTTAATTTAATGCATTTTAATGGATGAAAACTAGCTTTTCATTAACTCAACATAATCTTTGTAAGCTCTCTCTTTAGAAACTGATATCAGCTTGGTGAAGATCTACTCAAGAGTCACCCAGATATTTTGAGGGGCTGGAGTCTGGAATTTATTTCTTCTCTAAAACTAAATTATTTTGATGGTCATTGGTGATCATTAGTTTCTTGGCCCTCTCCATTTGGTCTCCCAAAGACACTCACAAATAATTAATCTTTTATTTGGCCCCATGGCATGAATACTAGATCAGCTCTGGGAATAATGGTAGTTAATCAATTACTGTCAAAGAGACACAGCAGAAGAAGCAAAATTATATTTAATCTGCATCTCAGAGTAATGCCATTACTCTAGGTTAATTTGAAAATAAGCTAGATTTGGTCTCCAGATATTCAATAAAGGCCCTTCATATGGCTTGTCCTCTGAACAGCCCATGTCATTGAGGGCAATAAGATAGCAACAAGATGGAGAAGATAAGGAGACTCTAATAGGGGTGAACATGAACAAGAGTAACAATTATTGTGGTTAATAGGATATTACAGTCAGTGTGTGATGGAAAGTCAAGGTAGACAACACGTGCACATATATTTATTTGTTTGTTTCTGAAATTTTCTTTAATGGAGGTAGTGGGGATTGAACCCAGGACCTCGTGCATGCTAAGCATGCACTCTACCACTGAGCTATACCCTCCTTTGCCTTGATATATATTATACAATGTACTCAAGTCCAAAAGCATCAGTATTAACTATAATTTTTAGGAAGAGACAAAAGGTCTAGGTAGAGAAGGGATGAAAGAAGTTGAAATGACTTCCTTATAGGAATTTTAATGAGAGAACGGACACAGCAGCCTTTCTCTGCGATGTTACAGGAGACTCTTATTTGCCAGCACTTGATAAGCACTTGGCACTGACCACTTACAATGTTTCAAGGAAGACACAGGAGACAAAAATAATTGCATTCCCCTGGCAAAATATCTAAGCTTCTCAGTTTTGACAGCTGCTTCCGGCCTATGAAGACAGAGTATCTGAGTCATACACGTACAGTTACTTCTGAGTGAAAGGAGGAGGGAAAGACATACCTGTGCATTCCTGCTCTCAGGGAGGCAGAGTAACGCCAGTCAGGGTTGGGCTGTCGTGGCTGCAAAATCACAGAGGGAGTTTTCGTTAATACGGCAAAACACTGACCTCCCAGTGGTGCTGTTAATTGAGGAATTGTTTCTTAAATATTTCCATGCATTCATTAAAAGTACTGAAAGAGCCATTTCATGTGCAACTCTAAGATGCTATCCGCTTATACAGCACTTCAGGAGAAAATTAAACTAGCTTACAGGGTCCTTACACAGATTAAGTATCATGGAAAACTGGATTTAGTGATGCTGTGAGGACCAACTTTGGCTTTGTCTTGCTCAACACAGGTCTGTGTTCCTAAAGTAGCATCAGGGGAAGAACAGCCTGTTCTGAAACAGGAAAAGCTTCCATTGTTTTTGCTCTCAAATGCCCCGTTAAGGGAACGTCCCCAGTTTGGTGTTCCAGCTTTAACAGGGCACACGACGACACAAGCTCTGCTGGTCTGGCTGGACTGCAGAGGACTGCAATCTGCGGCTGGCTTTGCAGACTGCAGCATGTTTGACCCTGGACGGATGTGCCCAGTCGCAACGCCAGCAACTGATAACCGCCTCTTCTGCTGATTGAAGAGGAATCCAAGGGAGAGGTAAACACACTGCAGCAGAGTTGGCCCTTGTGTCGCTACATACTCCTTTTCATAAAATCGTACTTGCTTCCAGCTCCTCTGAGTGCTGTGCCTTCTCATTCAATTACTGTTTGCTAAGCTCTGTTTAACAGGGAGGAGCTGAAACCTAAGAGGCACCTGACTCACTCTGCACCACCTGTGTGTCAGAAAGATGCGTGGCTCTGTGTCTACAAACTATCAATTCTAAGTGGAGGGGACACAGAGGAAACTGTGGGCGCCCAAAGGTTGTTCTGGGAGTTACGTGCTGCATACAAGCTACCCAGGAATCAGAGGGCAATATCAATCACCATCACTCTCTTGTATCATTAGCAAAAATTTTTTCATAAAAAAATCTGTGACAGATGTTCCTCTCCATGTGTTCTCGTGCGCAGAGGTTAAAGCGGCCTCGTCACTGAATACTGAGGTCTGTTTGAGTGAAAAGATGACGAGATGGAGGCTGGTACTTTCCTCTGGAGTATAATTATCATATTTGGGAGACACAAAGCCACAGTAATCCTAATAAACTATTTAAAAATGTCAATCAATGAGTCTTATTACTATCATTCTTTTTCATTCAAAGGATGCATGGCATTTCATAAACATACTTCTTCACAACATTCAGAGAAGAAGTGATCGAATTTCAACTTCTGGACAGACTTTGGGATGGTTAGATGGTATCCAAAGATTCAGCCAAAGTCAAAGACCAGAGAAAGCGACGACTCTAGGATACTTTACCTCAAATGTCCGCATACACTAAGTACCCGCCCCGGCCCCTTCCATTCTGTTGGCAGGCTATGAATATACAAGCTGCTTCATCCTTGGTTTGGCTTTCAAGTTCACAAAATGATACTGATGTTCCTCATAAAGTAGCATAAAACCATCTAGATGAAATGAAAGCGATCTCATTTTCCATCAGAGGTAGCAGAGGGAGCAAAAGAGAAAATGTTTGCAGACCATTTGGTAAACCCGAAAATACGACTGAAATACTTTTTATTAATCACACCATCACCATCCTTTCCCTGACCATCAGGAGCACTCGTGTCACCCTGCCAGCTGTGAGAGCCTTCCTTCAAGAAAGACTCTGACATCTGTTGACCAAGTGCTGCCAATTTTCCTACAACAGGGTAATGTTCATGATGAAAATTGCTGCAACTTGATCTCTGGAATGAAAACCGACCTCATCTTGCTGAAAGTCACAGTTTCAGCAGGAATGACCAGGAAACTCAGTTCATCACATCATCTCACTTCCTCAACGAGACATTTAATTCATCATGCTGCTATATTCTATAATAGTCCACCAGCAACAAGATGCCTCTGAGGTTTGTTTGCCAGAATCACAGTTATGAAACATCTTACGGCAGTAAGATCAGGCAGGGAACAGGTAAGGAAGAAAGGAACTAACGTGTTTTACGGAGCCACACGATAGTAGGCAATGGGATAAGCACTTAACTGCATTTATCCAAACACCTTCTTGTTAGACCATAAATTCTATGAAAAGGATTATATCTTTGTTCATAAAACATATTAATATTCTCAGATAGTCATAATACATAGCTATACCCTCAGAAGGTAGGGTTCAGATATTTGGTAGGTTTTTTTTTAAAAAAATGTTTTTGAATAAATTAACTATCATTCAAGGGCAACATTACTGTACTTGAATTACAAAAATCAGAAATCTGGAACTTTAGAGAGATTAAATTACATACCTGACTGGTAGGTGTGGCTGACGATCGTGTTTAGGTACCCCTAACGTGAAAGTCTGTGTTTTAAAATACATTTGCGTGGCATGACGGATTTTTTTTTCTTTTTTACTTCTGAGTCTCCCAGATATTTATTTATTTTAAAATGATACAAAATTAAAAGTAATAAAATGTACATAGGTTTCCTCCAAACTTGATTAACCTTGGAAAAATTGAAGTTGAGTGGTTAACTACTGACATACCTAACACAATGAGACATATGTTTAGCTCTCTAATACTTGGATGGTACATCCCTGGACTTTGCTTAATTGCTATTGGTGAAAATCCCCTTGTATTCTTATGTTTCAAAGTGTAGTCCTTTAGTAGAATAAGTCACAAAACTCCAGATGTAGAAAAACCGAATTAGGTAGTCCACATGGGTGATGTAGTATTACTGAAGACCAAGAATCCATGTAAGCTTCTATCAAAATTATGGCAAAGATTTAACTTATCCTGTAGTGATATTATTTGTTATTTATACTATAGAATATTTGAGCTACAGAAGGTTGAATCACCTCTTCCAAGATAGGTTTAAAATAAAATAGGTTAAAAATACCCTTTGTCAATACATGCACCCCAATGTGCATAACAGCATGATTTACAATAGTCAAGACATGAAAACAACCTATATGTCCATTGACAGACGACTGGATAAAGAAGTTGCAGCATATTCATACAATGGAATACTACTCAGCCATAAAAAAGAATGAAATAATGTCATTTGCAACAACATGGATGGACCTGGAGATCATCATTCTAAGTGAAGTAAGACAAAAAGATAAAGAAAATACCATATGATATCACTCATATGTGGAATCTAAGGGGAAAAAAAGGACATAAATAAACTTATTTACAAAATAGAAACAGACTCACAGACATAGAAAACAAACTTATGCTTACTAGGGGAGAATGGGGGTGGGAAAGGATAAATTGGGAGTTTGAGATTTTCAGACACCAACTACTATATATAAAGTAGATAAACAACAAGTTTCTACTGTATAGCACAGGGAACTATATTCAAAATCTTGTAGGAACCTATAATGAAAAATAATATGAGAAGGAATATATGTATGTATATGTATGACTAAAACATTATGCTGTACACCAGAAATTTACATAATGTTATAAACTGACTATACTTCAATTAAAAAAAATTTAAATACCCTTTGTCAATCATAAACTCACAGAACTATTCAGTGAAGTAATATGCTATCTTCCTATCATGGAAATCCATGATGAATAAAGGGTCCTCTGAGAAACAAGACTACATGTAGCATCTCCTTTTCCTTCCTAGTAGGAATTTATTGAATGTATCCACTTTAAATTTTTCTGTGATATTTTGTGAACATTGCTGTAAATTATGATCGGCAAAATTCTAAAATGGCCTCCAAGATTCCTACATGCTGGTTAATACATACTGTATAATCTCCAAGACTGAATATGATGAGCCTTTGCCATTAGGTTTGTTACATGGCACGGCTGGCTTTGAAAAACGGAGATTATCTGGGTGGGAATGACCTCATCACATGAGCTTCTTAAATCTGGGTCTAGAGATCAGAGACAGAATTAGAGAGATTTGAAGCATGAGAGGGATACCATATGAGAAAATATTCTCCACTATTAAAATATTCCTCAGCTCTGAAGATAAAGGGGGCCATGGGACAAGGATCTGAGAGCAACCTTCAGCCAACAGTAAGTAAGAAAACGGGGAGCTCTGTTCTCAAGGAAATGGATTCCGCCAACAACTGGAATGAACTTGAAAGCAGATCCTTCCCCAGAGCCCCCGGAAGAGAACTTAGGTTGGCTGGCATGTTGATTTCAGCCTCTGAAAACCTGAGCAGAGAACCCAGTCCAATCGCGCACGTAATAAATAAGTGTTGTTTTTAACCTCTTAACTGTGCTAATTGATTATAGAGCAAGAGAAAATGAATACAAAAACTGTTGGTCATGACGGCAAAAAGGAATAGAACATTTAAAATAATCATTGCTATGTTATCCATTAGTCTTCCTGTAAATCAAAATGAAAAGATGATAACTAGGATTTCAGGTGACTACTCACCTCTGAAAACAGTCATTTGTGACCCTAATCCACAGAGCAGGAAAATAAAATATACATAACTTTAAAACATACTAGTGGGTTCCAGTACAACAGAAAATGCTAAGGTTGCTTAATTCTGGATGCACAGCCTGCCAGCACAGCAGTTACTCTCCCACTCACAGTTTCACTTCCCTGGAGCCCAGAGGTCTGACCCTGCAAGGCCAGAAAGGAACTGATGTTGCTTATGTGCCAAGGAACTGATATTTTTCTTCAGTTTTGCAGTGGTGGGGATTTCTCTGCATTTGTGAAGTTCAGATTCTTGAAAGAAAAAAAAACTTGTATAATGTTTAGGCTAGTAGACTTAAAATACTACTGAGGAATCCGCTTGACCTTTGACTTTTGAAATCATGATTTTAGATAATATTCCAAACAGTATCATCCAAATAAACAAAATTTATATTCAGACTATAACATGCACGGGAGCATCGAGCCCGGAGAAGTCCTACAAAAGCCACATTTGGAGACACCTGTAAATCCCTATAAAATTCAGCTAAACTTTCCGGGCTTGGTGATGGTAATTTTCCCTCAAACCTTTGCAAACTGACAGTGTCCTGACCTCTCAGTGAGAGCAAAAATTGGTGGCCAACCGAGGCAAGTATCCAGAACCGACTCTGCTACTCTGTCAAGCAGACAGCATGCCAATAGACAATTTATAATCTGCCAGGCTGTGTCCCTGCAGAGTGTTCTGAGTAAGACCAGATGCCCATGTGAGGGCTTACTCCTGGGTCAGACGAAAGGGTAGGCCAATGACATTCGAGCTACAATAAATAGATTTCTTCATCAGTCAGAATATGTGCAAGATAGAGACAGAGAAGAGCTCAGCAATAATTTCATCCAGCTCAGCAGAAGAGGGAGGAAGGGGCGGTAATCTGAAGAAATTCTTGTATTCTCAGACCGAATAAAATAAACCTTTTCTCAGAAGAACAGTCCTATGACCAATACGAAAAAGGCAAAAAGGAAAACAGCCTCACCCATTCAAAAGTCACCATCAGAGGATGAAACAACGAAATGGAAGTTCAGATACAATTTCCCTGCCTCTTCTGACCACTGTGCAGTTTTTATAAATTCACCACGATGCTACTTTACACTAAGCGTAAATTCTGATCCAGGACAGAATTAGTCACCAGCTGGAAAAGCCAGTCCTGGGGGAAATTAATTAAGTGCCACTGAAAGAAGGATTAACACTTTCAGGTTACTACGACATCAAGAATTGGAGGAGTATGTACACACAATGGCAAAAACAGCTGATGATCTGGTGACTACAAATTGCTTTATACTACGTGAATGTACACTTAACTCATTTCTGCTGCTCTTTTGTGATTTCCACATCTTGTGCCAACTGGTCCCACTGAGGCACAGCCAGACAAATCTGCCCAGAGCACTCAAAATGACTCACCAGCGGTCATGGGACCACACATGCACAGAATCCACCTTAAGATTCAGTTCTCTTTCTTGGAGGTTCTTTGAAAACGCCACCAACCGCATTCTATACTCTGTTTTCAGATCTCTCCAAGGAGAAATTCTGCCCCATTGCTAAATAGTTACTTCAAAAATCTCACTGCACAAGTGGCTCATGAAATAAGCCTCCTGGAGGTGAAATCCATCAAAAGATGAGTCTGGTGTTAAATGCTGATGTTTAATAAGCAACCAGGAAGAAAGGAGAGAAAGAACAGAGCTAAAAGATCTTAACTGGCTTTGCCAATGGTAATGCGGATAAACAAATACAAATATAACAGCTTGGTAGTAACATTTTTACTCACTGATCCTCCCATTGGTGACCTACTTCAATGGAAAGAATTCTTTTTCTGGGGCATTTAAATGACACTACTGGGTGAATCAGTGGTAGTCTACATGCCTGAGTATCCTTCATCAAAAGGAATATAAACATTAGGATTTCTGGCTATTCATACTATTTCAAAAGCACAGTCTTTGGAGTCAGACAGGCATGACTTAAAATACCACTAGCAATACATACGTATATGCATGACTGGGTCATTGTGCTGTTCACCAGAAATTGGCACATTGTAATTGACTGTACTTCGATTTAAATTTTTTAATTGAAAAAAAAACATTAGCAGCGTGACTGTGTATGACTTAACCTCTCTAAGCTTGTTTCCTCATATGCTAAATGACAATAAATATTTGCTTAGGACTCACAGGTAACGGAAACCATACATGTATTGCAATGCAGAACATTTTGATACAGCAGGGTGGTCAGTGAGTGCAAATTCCCTTACTCATCCTTTCCAATCCCCATCTAATTGTAAAGTAGGCACGTGGAATTAATTGCACCCCAGGGCTCTCCTGCCATCTGCAGTAACTGGGCAGAGAAGAGAGAAAGCCTAACATGAAAATTTAACAGGTTGATCTAGCAGTGATGACTTTCAGAGTTGAGTGATTTTTGTCCCCATTTTGCCATACTATGACAACATGACGCCCTCCCTCCCTATAACTGCAATAATCCCTAAAGCTGTAGATCTTAGGACTCTCCACTGGGTTTCCAATAGTGTCCAGCAAGAATTTGCCTTTATGAAAATCACACACTCTCCTGGCAAAATCCCACAAGAGTAAGCACTTTTTCTGACATCGCCTTCTCCCTAGATTAAAGGTTTGTGAACCAAGGCACATATTAACACACAGGTCAGTGTAAGACAGAAATAGTTCATGCATCAAACTGCCCCAAGCTTTGCGCCAGGAGAGGGAGGGTAAGAGTGCTATTCCCCTGAGCTTCCAGCTCACAGCTGGTGGCAAAGCTTGCCTGGCCTGCTCTCCATCCGAGCCTCTTCACCACCCGCGGTCCACCCCAGGCCCCAAAAGGACGTCACAGAAATTTGTTAAGCAAATACCTAGAGCATCCTTATATAAAACTAAGCCCCTTTACATGCTTCCAAAAGCTATGATCTAAAGAATTCTGGAACCTCTTTGATTCCCTCCTGTTTTTCTTAATCTGCAAACTACCTCCTGTGGCCACTCAGGACTGACTAACATCAGGCTCTTCTGATAAATCTACCCACAGTGTCCATTGGAAATTCTCTCAAGCCATCTCTTTTTTCCTGTGCTTATGCATTACTTTCCTGAAGACAAGTATGAATTTAGAATGTGAAACTACAGGCATTAATAAAAAGACAGCAGTATGTCAATGAAAGTGCATCAAAAAAATATAGGAGGGACAAATATTATTAACCATTTTGTAGTACCTCTAGAAGTTCTAACTACAAAATAGTTGTTGGGGAAGAAACAATTCATTACTATTTATGGGACAAAAATTTGAAATCCAAGTTTAAAGTCTCACAGAGCAGAACTCCATTGTTTCAAGCATGCATATGGAGAGAAACACACTACCTAAACACACGCACTGTCTAACACTGTATATACATTCTTCATAATAATGAGCAAGCCGGCCGTATGGTTACTTAAAATTTTTAAAACCAGTGTATTTACTAACACCTGTCTTTCATGCACAGTAAACCATCCACTTTCCAAGGCTTTGGTAACTATTGCAAACTAAATGTTAGAACCAGAAAATGAACAAGTGCTTTGGAAGACATTGAATATTGTTTAAAATACTGCCATTTATCTCAAAGACATGAGGGGGCTTGAATAGGCTGCTTCACAGCTCATCCAAACCTTAGGAATTGTCAACGGGCAATCAGAAGATTACATTTAAGCTAAATGCAGGGAAATTCTCTTACAATGAATTCACACTATGCCAAGATAGGTGACTTCCCCCCTCATCTTTCTCCCCACTCCCAGCTTGCCTGGTCTTCGCCATACCCCCACATCCCTACTCCATTCATTCTCACATCTCCCTGGCATGCTCAGACAAATTGGTTCTCGGTTCTCTGCCTTATCATCACGCACCTCCTCTGACAGCCCCTACAGAAGAGGCACAACAGCAAATAGCCAGAACAAAGTTCGTCTTCAGGGTGAGGTCCGCTTTCTATGGTTTTATCATGCGTGACATGAATTTCTAGATCTTATCACATTAGTTCAGTGTCATTACCAGAAATATTAACTGGATGCTTTTCACTGTAGAGAGTCCAAGGTAAAAACAGAGACAGCAGACAGAGGTGACCACCACAGCGCCTAGAGGTCTCAGAGCTTTTGAAAACAACACTCCTAAAGGATTTCAAAAGAGAACTTTCCTTGTAGATGACACAGAGGCCATTTCTCCTTGAATCTCATAACATTACTCCCTATAGTATCATCTTATTCTCAGTCCTATGCTATTTCTCCACAGAGCTGAGCTTTAACATCACATATTCAAGACAGGGCCTCACTTCTAGAACAATTTTATGGTCAAGTCTTCCTATATTTGAAAAGAAAACGCAAAGTAAAACAATCCTCTAGTGACACTTTTCTAGAGAGGAAACAGCAGGTTACAATCCAATCACAGGTACTTTACATACTCAGTTTACCAGATAACCCTTGTCATTGTTAACAGCTCAATGAAGCCAATCACATGATATTGGGGTGTTGTGAAAAGTGCATGACTTTGTGGAAGACCCCTTGACTACCATCTCACCTCATTTTGAGAAACAGCCTCGTTTTTTAGAATAATCAGGTTCCCAGCACTCTGCCCACTTTGGCCTGTGAGGTGCCGGCTGTCACCTGCTGCTGCTTGGGCTCCCCCAGGCCCCGGTCCTGTCTGTGCCCCTGTGTTGTAAAACATGAAGGTGTCACTCCCTGAGCCTGCTGTCAGACAGGCCTTGTAGCAGTAGGTCTTGGTGAGGGAGCCATTCCCCCGCACTTCAATGAAGTGAGGCTGCACTTTGAGGCCATGCGGTATCCTGGCATCGATGTTGTTGTTGGCCTGTTTGTAGAGCTCTGCAGGGCTCCTCTCCCTCACTCCACAGAAGCCTCCACAGCACGTGGTGCCATAAGCGGTGTAGCGGTAACACTTGATGATGCTCAAAACAATGATTGTCAAAAGAAATACAAAAGACACTGTGCTTAATGCTATTATCAGATAAAGTGTCATTTCAGAGTATGTCCGAGGTCTTTTCACATGTCTCTGAGTGTCAGGGAGGATTTTGGAAACCCTATCCACCACAGCTACCGTAATGGCCACAGAGGCTGACAGTGATGGCTCTCCATTGTCTCGGACCACCACGGTCAGGTTGTAAGTGGTTCCACTCTCATCTCCCATCTTCCTGGTAGTCCTAATTTCCCCTGTGTGTAGCTCGACTTTAAAGAGGTCCAGGTCAGAAGTCTGGGCCAGATGGTAAAAGAGCCAAGCATTTTGCCCAGAGTCTGAGTCCATGGCTATGACTTTAGTGACCAGGTAGCCAGCAGGGGCAGTTCGAGGCACCATTTCAATGGCTGCTGATGAATTGGTTGAGGTAGGGTACAGGATATGAGGGGCATGGTCATTCACATCCACCACATACACGTTGGCGGTCACAGTGCTGCTCAGTGGCGGGCTCCCCTTGTCCTGGGCCTCCACAGTCACAAAGAACTCCCGAAACTTTTCATAATCAAAGGAGTTGACAGCATAAAGGCTGCCACTGGCACTATTAATGGAGACATAGGAAGTGACTGGCAGCCCTTGAATCTCCCTTTCCAGGAGGGAGTAGGTCACCTCTGCATTCTCCTTTTCATCTGGGTCTGTGGCTTGCACAGTGCAGAGCAACACCCCTGGCAAATTGTTCTCCTGGATGTAGATGGAGTAGGAGTCCTCCAGGAAGCTTGGTGGGTTGTCATTGATGTCCGAGATTTTAACCTGCAGGGTCCGCTGGGATGTGAGCTGTGGTACTCCCCCATCAGTGGCTGTCACTGTGATGTTGTAGGCAGCCACCTGCTCCCTGTCCAGGGGGCCACTCACTACCAGTGTGTAGGAGTTTCCAAAGCCATTCAGCCGGAAAGGCAATGTGGCCTCCAGGCCCAGGCTTACTTTCCGGTTGAGACCTGAGTCTTGGTCATTGACACTGAGAAGGGCCACAACGGTGTTGGGTGCGGCATCCTCCGGCACTGGGCTGTACAGGTCCGTGAGAACCATCTCCGGTGCATTATCATTCACGTCTAGGATGTCCACCAGCACCTTGCAGTGACCCACCATGGGCACTGGACCCCGGTCAGTGGCCTGCACATAGATCTGGTAGGAAGAGGCCTCCTCATAGTCCAGCGCTCCACTTACCCGCACTTCCCCCGTGCTGGCATCGATGCTGAAGAGCTGCCTCTCCCGGTCCGACGTGTAGCTGCTCAAGGAGTACCTGAGCTCGCCATTGGAGCCCTCATCCGGGTCTGAGGCATTGAGCTTCACCACCAAGGTGCCTGGGGGCGCGTCCTCCCGCAGCTGGACCCGGTAAGTGGACTGGTCGAAGGCGGGAGAATTGTCATTTGTGTCCAGGACCCGCACAGTGATCTGCGCTGTGCCCGAGCGGGCTGGGCTGCCTCCGTCCACAGCTGTGAGGACCAGGTGGTGCAAGACTGCCTGCTCGCGGTCTAGGCCCTTACGCAGCACCAGCTCCAGCACCTTACTGTTCTCCTGCAGGGGCTTCAGGTCCAGCTCGAAGTGCTCGTTGGGGCTGAGTTCATAGGTCTGCACCGAGTTCGTGCCCACGTCGGGGTCCTGCGCGCTCTCTATGTGAAAGCGCGCTCCAGGCGCCACCGATTCGCTTACCTGAAGCTGGTAGTCGGGCCGCGGAAAGCGCGGTGAGTTGTCGTTGATGTCCAGTACCTCCACCTCCACGGTGCTCACCGCCACGGGACTGTGCGCCAGCACTTCCAGGTTGAGCAGGCAGCGAGGCCGCTGCTCACACAGCGCCTCCCGGTCAATGCGCTCGTTGACGAAGAGCGCTCCACTTGTCAGGTCCAGCTCCAGGTAGCGCGGGCTGGGCGCACCCAGATGGCTGATGCGCAGGCAGCCCGGCCCCAAGCGCCGCAGCTCCAGCCCCAGCGCCCTAGCCACGTTGCCCACAAGCGCGCCGAGTGCCTGCTCCTCCGGCACCGAGTATCGCAGCTGGGAGGCCGCTGGGCCCGGCAGCAGCAGCAGGAGCAGCAGGAGAAGCAGCAGCAGCAGCAGGCAGGACATGGGCGGCCGGAGCCGTGTACGCTCTGTCGCCCCGGGTCTGGTACCCGCCATCGATAGCCACGGGCCGTCGGTAGGAGGCCAGCTGGCAGGCCGAGGCGAGCACGGCTTCCCGAGCCGAGCCGTCCACGCCGACGTCCGCCTCCGGCCACC